TTTAAGTCATTTTATTCGACTTTACGTCCGTCCGCCACAAATATTGAAGTCGTAATATCACTAGAAAAGCGTTTAAAGCACATAAAATCATATTAAAATATACACATTTACAAGTATGTACTGTATTTACAGTACAGTACATGCATTCGTAAATTTATTTGTTTGTAAGCTTAAAATAGATTCTTATTAACCATATATTATTAAAAATGCATTAATAAATAAAATACAGAACTGGGAATAGTAATTTATAGTTTAGCCTAGTGACAAGTAGATTCGAAGACAAGTAAATTCGACTTAAGTCGTTTTCCTGGAACCAATTACCGACATAAGGCGAGGTATACCTGTATAAAGGTTTGCCACAATTAATGTTGTGCATTAATTGAATCCTATGTTAAGCAAGGGATAGCTATATAGTAGTACAATGGTTAGAAAATACTCCTGATAGCACAATTTTTAGGAATCTTTGTACAATGTTCAAAACAAGGCAAATATCTGCAGATCAGTGGTGTGCTGTCCATGGAAGCTGTGGAAGCACCGCTTTCTTTCTATTTTCTAAAATATAAATACATATTGCATGATTGTTTTTATATTTTAACGTACTTTGAATTACTTAAAATTAATATTATAACCACATTCTGTATTTTATTACAAATTTCTATACATGTGAAAAACAATGATAAGATTGCTATTGCATATTCAAATATAAATTTGTATATGCATATTCCCAATGGAAGCGCTGTACTGTCGAATACGGGACAGCTTCCATGGCAAAAACATCTGAATGATGTAAAGCAGCTAGATTACAGGCATTCACTTTACAGAGCATCAACCTCTGGTGATTTAGCTGGTGGATGCTATATACCAATATATCATATAACACTTCCAATGATTCCATCCATTAGCCACTGGTAGAGAGCTATTTGACGAAGTGCATTGTTTTAAGATTTAAAAAGTAAAGAATATTTTATGTACAGGTACATTTCATTACAAAGATATATTTAATTACAATTATATTGACAGATTTTCAGATACAAAATCTTTTGAATTTTTTATCACTTTTTGATGTTAATAATTTTAAATGTTATTAAAAACAATTTTCTGAAGCAATTTTTAATTCTTCAAGTAAATTTTATGGAAAATTTTTTGATTTATCTAAATTACATAGTAAATTGAAATATTTATATTCATAGACTATATTGGCAAGTCACTCTTACACACAAAAACATATTATAATTAATGATGTTCTGAATAAAGATGTACTAAAAGAATTATATGATTTAATAGCATTAATTTTTATGCTACCATCTACGAGTGCATCTGTTGAGCACAGTTTTTCAAACATGAAGCAAATTCATACATTTGCAAGAAATACTTGGTCAGAGGAAAGAGCGTTGTCACTAGCATTGCTTTCAATGAAAAAAGCTTTTAAATACTTTGATGAAATCGATGACAAGCGATTTTTATGATAAAGTAATCAATGACTTTGCAGAAAAAATCGCCAAATAGAGTTATTTATAAAAAATAACAACAAGTTTTTATATCTTTGCTTTGTGTCAATAATCTAGTTTAGAATTAAAATAAATAAACTGTTTATTTTTGTCATTTCCAGTATTTGTTAAAAATTTTTATGGAAACGGCTTCCCTATCATCAAATGTCACCACATGCCACTGCTGCAGATTATCATCATCATATCTATATATATATAAAAATGAATGTATGTCTGTCTGTGTGTCCTTCATGCATTACCACACTGTTTATCCGATTGCCATGAAACTTTGGGAAGTTGTTTAATACACTCCTGCAAAGGTTTCTGGCATAGTACATTTATCCTATGATAGATGATGTGAGTGTATATGAGCATTTCATTGTGAGTTCAATCGATTTCAAATTGTGAAGACCATTCCCCCTCCAAAAAATCTCTCTATATATGCATTTGCAAACTGTTATTAACGATATTTGTAATAATTTTTGTTTAATCACTTTATTTCAACTATTTTTTGCTAATTATGTATTCGCTTGAACTTTGTTAAACCTTAACTGTATCCTGAACAACAACCGAAGTCGTAGGAGGAAATTTGCCTATTTTACCGATCTAGGGATCCCCTTTTCCAAATTTTAATATCAATTCAAAATAATTTAAAAAGACAAATTACAATAAAACAGTTTATTATCCAGCTGTCAGAAATTTCACAACATGCCAAGGAAGAGAGGAAGGAGCAATTAAATAATTAAAATTGTAAAGGATTAAAAAGATATACAAAAATGGGGAATACTGCACTTCTGACAATCACTGCAAGTGTGTGGGCTAGATTTGGAGAATCCGTGATTCTCACATGGACAATTGTATGTGGCTAGCTTATGCGTTGGAAAACCTTCTGATTTATTCGTGTACGCACAAGACGGAAAAACAAAAAATATCGTGTATCCACAAGCACTCCAATAAATAAATAGAATTGAAACAACACTTTGAAATGTTTTCCCAATGAAAATGAAAATTATAATAATAAGTTTCAATAAAAATGATAAAATGTAAATTGAAGTTTATTATAACGAGTTTGCTTGAATTTCGTTTCTTCTGAGATTGCAGCAATGCGCGACGGGTAAGCTAGTTAGTGATAATGGTTTTAGCTGTAGTCTATCGCATGACTCCTATTCTAGATCCTGAGACTAATTCTGAGATGAGGTAAAATAGTGATGCATTTTAGATACTTCACTTATTAACTTGTTCATTATCTCTTGAAATTTTATATTTTGTTTGGTATTTTACAGGCATAAAAGAAGCCATATAAAGGCATGGAATGTTATTGAAAGGCAATATGCCTTATGGAAGAGACGTTTCCCCTGCCTATCTATTAGACTACACTGTAATTTGCAAAATGCTTTAGACTTTATAGTTGTGTCTACAGTTCTTCATAGCACTGCAATACAAGATGGAAGCATAGCATTATTTGATGATGATGATGATTCTTAGTTTTTAACTTCAGAAGTGCCTGTACAAGTAATAAGTACTAGAAATGCTCAAGGTTTTACTAAAAGAAATACAATAATTCAAAATTTTTTTGTTTAACATTATAACGAACATTTCATATATTTTAAAATAAAGCTTTGTTTTGTGAAAAGTTTAATTATTATTATTATTACTGAATAAAGGAACAATACACAAAATACATATAGGACACAAACATTTGATAGAAAATTTAATATATTAAAAGAACAAAATTCAAAGATTAAGAATCTTTTACACAATATCTACATATTTTTGCATAAAAATAAGACTTAAAAATTTGCAAGTTGTAATGTTAAAGAGGAAGGATTTTCTTCTAAAATTTGTAAAATTTTTTCTTGTACTTTTGACTTTTTTTCCATAAACAGCATTTTCATGTTGTGTTCTTCAGTCAATCTTGAGTTTTTAATTTGTGTTCCTTTTCAATCTGTTTAGTTTTTAAATCTGTTTGTAAATGGCTGAATTTAGTTCAGCTGGTTTTCTTTTTCTGCTTTGAATACTTTTGCCATCCTGACTACTGGAACCCTGATTGAAATGTAACTAATTCATTATAAGATAAAAATAATTGTATTCCATAAAAATTTTTATTTTAAGATTTACCTACNTTTTTTGTAATAATATATATATATTTGTTATTTGAATTTGATATTCACATTTTGAACTTTTTAAAAGTGCATATTTATATGAAGTACCTTTGTGGCCTGCTAACTCACTTAACTTCAAGGAACTTCACTTAGAAGGACTGTGTTTACATTGTGGTAAAACAACCACACATCAGAAAACTTTTAGAGTCCTACACAAGTTGAAATGTGATAAAATATACCTAAATATCTAATTTGGCCCATTAGGAAAAAAAGGTTGGACAACGCTGATCTAGACCAAGGATGGAAAACCTTTCTGCATCCATATGCCATGTTTGTGTGTGCCAAAGTTTTAAACCTCAAATGACAATATTTAAAGAAATTAAATGAAAATGCTTTAATTAGAATAAATGTAAAGAAGTTGATTAAAAAAGGATGATCAGTTAATAAACCAAAAAGATGATTGAAAAAAGACAGGCAATAAACAGAATTGTGTGAGTTCCATACAATTTGTCCCAATTACTGCCTTGATTACATGTGCCAGAAGTTTACCACTTCTGCTCTAGACTTTTGCCAAATTAATGAAAGTACTACAAAATCATATAACACTTAACAAAACATCCTAACAGAATAACACAAAGTTTTTCTGCAGTTCAGCATAATGGTGAGTCAATTTCAAGTTATATGACTTCTTCAAAACAACTCTCCAAAAGAGCAGATTTCAAGTCCAGTTGTAACAATGCTTGTATATAAAAATCTGTTATACATTTATTGTTAATAGTGCAATTACATGGACTATGAGATTCTAACATCTGTAAAAAATTCTACAACAAACTGACCTAATCTTCAAGATGATGTTAGAAATTGCAGTAGACACAGAAACTTCTAAAACTGAAAATAAAATGTATAAAAGTAATCATCTTGTTCACAAAAATACTCATTAAACAAAATGATGGTCGCATTTTCAAACACAACAGAAACAGAAGGTTGTCACAAACTCACTTAACTTCAAAGAACTTCACTTAGAAGGACTGTGTTTACATTGTGGTAAAACAACCACACATCAGAAAACTTTTAGAGTCCTACACAAGTTGAAATGTGATCAATGAAATGTGTATAAAAAAGACAACACTGGAAAAGTATGCATATCATCTTTAATTAAATAGACAGCAATAATTAACAGAAACCAAAATGTCCACAATACTTTTCATAAATGCTTAACTGACTTTGGTGTAAATAGCATTCAAGAAACATTTTTTAAATAAATGATGACAGAAACCTTGCAGAAATTTACATTAATGGAACAGTCTGTTTTGAACACATCAGCAGTTCATCACCATTATCAGTATCAATGAATTCAATTGTTTACAATTGAATGCATCTATATCAAAAATGAGAGTATCTTTTTGAAGCTATACTGGTGAAATCTACAGAGATAGAAGAACTCTGACATTGTACAGCTCCTGTTCCAAATAAACATGTACATCTCTCATAATAGTATCCCTGCTCCCCTTTCTGTTCTGCTTGTATAATAGATTTAAAACTTAGATAAGAAAACATTGAGAGATCAAATAAATATAATACTGTTGCGATCAAACTAATAACTGCTTGTAACAAAAAATGAAAAATCTTTATTTACCAATCCATTTATACCTTTGGAGTTTTGGATGTTCACCCAACCTACAGCTGTAAATAAAATCTTACATATTTAATAGGAAAAGCCAAGCAGCAAATTTGTTTGGTCATAAAATAAAAATGCAATTAGATATGCTTCAATCCCAGGCACAAATCCCAATAGAAATATAACCAAACTACCAGAATTCTACAAATTTTACTGTGTGAAAGATCATGTTCAATCCAAAATTACACAAACACCAGTCCTTGGAAATATAGTTTCATGGTTGAATGGTTTGTCCTGATCATTACTTAACTGAACTTGATGATAGTCATGTAATAAATAGGCATTATGATCAACTATGCCAACTTATAATATTCATTTGTATGTCAAAGTAGGGACAGTAAGTAGACAAGCTGCAAATAATCTCTTAACTTGTAATTCAGATAACATATGCTATATAGAGGATTTAAACTGAGATGTTAGTTTAATGTAATGAGAGATAACTGTTTTCTCCTGAGTGACAGTAGAGGCTCAAAAGCATCCACATATATGCTTTGATCAAAGAAGTCTGCAAAGTACCAGTACACAAATGCAGTGCTCGATGGTAGAATGGATATCAAATAACCCTTACTTTTAACCTTGTAACTGGAGTAGTTGTGTTATATGTCAGCAAACGTTTTTGATGCCCCTTCTGGGCTCATCATCAGGCCTTCTGTAAATAATAAGCAGGATTTTGAGAATTGAATATTTTCTTTTGAGCAGTTTATCATTTGTATCATCAAACGTGCCAACCTTCCAGCCAATTTAAAAATGAAACGAGCAATGTTTTGTGTACAGCACATGCGCGCTGTAGTATTTTGATGTAAACTTTTTAAAACGTTATTATCTAGCAGGATCTGCCACGTTGTTGAAAGGGCCACCTCTTCTTTAAAATTGATGCATGTTGTGTTGTGTCATGCTCTAAATATCTCCATAGACTCCAACCAATTGAGATGTTCGGGGTTGGGTGGTGGTGAGGATAATATGCACTGCATCAAAGTTCGCTGTGATGTCCTGATAGTTCACATATGTAGAGAGAGCCGTTGTAGTTTTGTTGTGTTGTATATCAGCCTTATGTTCTTTAATCCTTATCCCCAATGTACGTCTGGTTGAGCCAATGTAAACCATTTCTCTGTCAAATCTGTGGTTTCTGAGCGGTATGGTATAAATTCCCGGTAGTCTGACTGCGTTTGGGGGGTCTTTTCCGTTACATAGTATTTGAAAAATCTTCTGTACATTATATTGACCCAACATCTCTTAACTATTACATTATATAATGATTTTAAATGTGGATTAAATGTGATGGGGATCCTTTCTGTATTTTCTTCTTGAATATTTATCTGTCTTAGTGTTTGGTTATTGTCTGCTTCCTGGCTACTTCTGTATCATTTTATAATCCATGTACTAGGTTGGTGTAGCCGTGGGCCACTGCTATCGCTTCTGTGTCTCTAATTTCCTGAGTTAGTGCCTGGAGAGAGGAGGAGTGCGTAAAAGCTCTCCTAACCAAAGCCCTGAAGGTTGCTACTTTGTACTGAAAAGGATCACAGGATATATCGGAATATATGTGGAGGTGTTACTAGTTTTTCGGTATACCGCAGTGTGTATGTTCGGTCCTTCAAAGGAGATGTCGATATCCAAAAAGTGGACCTTTGAGTTGCTGTGTTGTTGTGCTATTTCAATTAATAGACTGTAAGGATTGTCGTTTATCTTATCAACAAATTGTTTAAGATTTGGTTCAGACTTCCACAGTATGATGATGTCATCTACGTACCGTTCATGGAGTAGCATATTGGGTAGGAAGTGTGGAAGAGTGTTGTTTTCTAATAGTCTGACTACCATCTTGCATAGATCCTCAGAAACAGGACTTCCCATGGGAACACCATTGCATTGTGTATAAATGATCCCATTGAATTGGAATACTAAGCTGTAACATATCAAGTGGGATAGCTCCATTCTTTTCTAAAGTTAACAATACAACAATGCACCAAGAAATTCCGGAGCTATCCCACTTGATATGTACTTTCTCCAAGAAACCACTGGCTTTTCCTTTGATTTTTCAAATGTGATTAAACTGCAGTGATAAAGCATTTTTAAACTTCTCAAGCTTTCTTTTGCTTTTTTTTTGTGCTATCTGACATTTCTGATTTTACCATGATTTGGGATATTTTGGATATCTAATTGTTGTTTTCCTCATTGTGCTCTCAGTTGCCTGGATGATATGAGGACAGACAGTTTTGAGGTCTACAATATATGAGTACCTAATCTATACTTCTATACTAATATTATAAAGAGGTAATGTTTGTATGTAAGTTTGTATGCAGCACGTAATCTCCAAAACTACTCATCCGATTTCAAAAATTCTTTCACCAATATTTAGAATGGAACCTCAGGGTGGACATAGGCTGTATATTATTCTGTTAAACATTCATATAAATTAAAATGTATAATCTAGGTTAAGGCTTTTATGTCAACAGATGGTGCTACGAGTACGACGCCCTAAGTTTGCTTTTCTGTGAGGCATTATGCTTTTCTGTGAAAATAAACTAAAGCAGATCATCTTCTATTTATATAAATAAAAATGTAATGTTTGTTTGTTCCTACTGATTCCTTTGAAATTTTGACACAACGCTGCATTCGTATACGCACGTGTTTTTATATAATATACATGTCGAAATCCCCCTGGGAGATGGACAGGATTAAGGCTTACCGTAAAGAACTGTGCTTCTATTTATACTATTTTAGATGCAGTTTTTTGCATTTTTGATTGAGTTTTAATAGAGTATGTCAACAGAATATACACTACAAAGGGATTTTTCGATATTTCCCCACGGGGGAGAGACACAGGATTAAGGCTTACCGTGAAGAACTTGGCTTCTATTATACTATTTTAGGTGTGGTTTTTTGCATTTTTGATTGTGTTTTAATAGGGTACATCAAGAAAATGTACACTAAAGGATTTTTCGAAAAATTCCCCCCACAGGGGAAGTGTTATACATTTATAATAGATACATTTTGAGCCACAACAACGCGTGGCGGGGTCTGCTAGTAACACCATAAAGGTGACTGCAGGAGATTGATGTCAACCATATCCAAGCAGAGCACACACTTTTTGGAGAGATCAGGAGAAGATACATGATAAACCAAATGATCACATAATTAATCTGACTATTTTTTGCTACTATTAATAATTAGGAGAACACAGACATCATCAGGAGATCTGAAAATCCCGAGTCTGAATGTGGTAAATGACATTTAAACCTGAATGTGATCCTAAAAGTTTTGAACATCTATTTCACAGAATATATGAAAGTTCAAAATTTTTCTATAGAAGGTTAGTTATGTCTTTATTCTGATGCAATAACAATGATGACCAAACCTACCATTAACAACATGGTGGTCAAACCATTGCCATTTTGGGCTGAAAATCCAACCTTACAGTTTGTTCAGGTAGAAATCCAATTTGTTCAAGCTGAAGTTTCTAACAACAAAACAAACTATGCATTCTGATAAACTCACAGCCTCAAGTTTGAGAATTAATAGCATAACCATTTAATATACTAAAATAATACCACCAATTAATGAAAAATATTTCAATATACAGTATTTATCTCTAGCATTAGTTAAAAACTTAATCATGCTTTCTTATATTTTATTTCATTGAATATCTATTATATTTGACTATTATTAAATATCACATCTGTATCAACTTTATTTTTTCAATAATTTTCTGAAATTTTTACTTTTAGGCATACATTTACAAATTAATATGTAGTTAATGCAACACCAAGTGTTTGACCGTGTGTATGTGTGTGGTCACTTGTCTCCCAAAGTTCAACACATGTATCCTACTGATTTAAAATTGAACAAAAGAATTTTTAGACAATATATTGCATTTTCCCTCTTTCTTGTGTTGTTATCTTCACTACAATACTATAAAAAAAACAATCCGTTCTCCATGCAATGTTTATGATCAAAATTTTATCATACATAATTTTACAGTTTAAATCAAAACAAGAGTTTATTACAAGCATCTACGGAAAAAATTTACAAACCTAATTACTCTAAGTTCCGTTATAATAACCTATCCTGCTACTGCGCGGATGGTGGAGAGAGAGAGCTTACAAATTTGCATTCATACCTCTTTGCATATATCAGTGGGATATTCTTCCGTGATATCCAAACGGATTCGGGGTTGTGGCACAAGGTTCTACGGTGGTGTAGGTCTGCGATGGGAAAGACGATGTCCGACTTTGGCGATTGGCGATTCCCCCGAGAGGGGGAAGGAGGAGGGCTTTTATACTTTTTGTGGTGGAAAAATTAGTTAGGTGATCAATTGTTTTAGCAGGTGTGGGGTTAAACGTGGTGATAGAATGGCAACAATATGACGAATTTTGCCTGTAAGCGTAAACTATGCACGTGAGAATGTTTATATTTTGATTTTGTAGGTAGGGAATAAATAAATTTTTCCCTAAATTTATAAATTTAATAAATTTTTGTTTTAAAAAATTAACTAAATTTTGAATATCACACAAGCTACTTTCTACCATTTTCTATACATGTTTGCTTGCAACCAATCAAGACATTGCTTACAAAAGAAGACTTACTTAATCTTGAACACAGGATTGTTTTAAAACATTAATTCTAGTACTGTATAGCAATATCGTAAGAGTTATATTTTTGACTGAATATGAAAGACAGGTAACTAGTAATCTGTAGCTCAGAATAATCTGACTCTAGGTTAGATTTAAACTTAAGTTTTTCAACTCTCTGTTTAACTCAGTCTACAGAATACAGACATAAAAATTAGTGTGTCAAGAGTGCAGTAGTTTGGGCATCTGGAAAGAAATCCTTTGGATTACGTTATAAAACATGTGATGACAACAGATCTTCCCAAAAGAAGGAAAAGAGGTAGACTGAGATATGGTTTGACAGTGTGTTTGAGAATATGGTTGTGCTCTTAGAGTTGGGAGAGGACAGAGTAAGGTAGAAAAAGTGATCTGCAGAAGTGATCTCAGAAGAGTGAAACTAATAAAGTGAAGAAGAAGATACAATTATAAATGCTGCATTTTTTCTTAGTTACTTGAATGTGATACTGTGTAGGAAAAACAAAAACACAAGGTTCTGTAAGGTCCTTTATTTTTAATGTAAATTAATTACAATATGAAATATGGGACAGTTATAAGTAGTTATTCAGTCTCTTTTCCACATAGAGATGAACTATATTGATTAATTCAGATGCACTCAGGGTTAAGATTGGCCATCTGGCAATTCTAGCAAATGCCAGAGAGATGGGTACCCTATGGAGCCGATTAATATGATGCTGGCCATATAATAAATGTAAACAACAAATGCATAATTTTAGACACCCACAAGAAATCTCTTATGTAAACATTTTAAGGGCGCTTATCAGTTAAAGCCCTGCACACTGTGTCACATGCCATATTTCGATGTTATGCCACATCAAATAACATCAATTTGCATATGAATAAAAAAAACATGCTATCTGAAAGTTCAAAATTAAAATTTATTTCAAAACAACCAACATGATTTTGCTAAAATATTACAATTAATTACTGCTTGTTAGTATTGTTACATTAAAACTTTTACTTATTACTTACAAGAAAGTTACAATCAGGTGAAGGAGAGTTACAATTTACTCTCCTTCACCTGGTGTAATTATTCAAATTTAAATTTTACAGGCAAAACTTAGATGACAGTAATTCCTTATCCAAACACAAGTTAAACTAAAGTAAATGACAAAACCAGCCATTGAACTGTTCATCCATGTATTAGCCCTCACATCTTATAATCTCCATCTTGGATTTTTACACTCTTAACATGACTGCATTTTATTATCCTTTTTGAATAAACATTAATCATATTTGTGCAAAATTCAAATGTCATCATCTCCAGATGTAGGCAAATTGAAAAAAAATGAACAAACTGTGGTGGTGTGGAGGACAAAAAAAAGGATGACAAAGAAGTAACTATAAATTAAACAGGATTTTTATTTAACCACAGTTATGTGGTCCTTCGTACACCTGGTTCGTTTACACTAAACACACTTGATCCTAAACTATAGTACGCACACAAGTTTGAAGCCGTCCGACAAATTCTATGTGCTTTCACAGGCAGGAGACACATGCTCACGACAATGCAAAATTATGGTTTGAGATACTACAACTAACTTAAATCTACCTTAATCTAACTTATATGCTAAGGAAGGATGGTGAAGAAATTAAGAGATATGAAGAGAAGAGACAAGTATAAAGGACAGATTTGTGGGGGTACCCAGGTAAATTTGGCCGTTTCCGATCTTCCCTATATCGATACTTGAATCAATTTCCTTCCTCTCGTTTCCGTCTCTTGAGAATTCAAGAGCGTCCTTGAAGTCTTAATCTGGGTGTCCTTCTAATTTTCGTCCGTTCGCAGACAACTTCCAACCCTTCTCTTTTTGTCCCACTAGGCGACAAACCTTTAGCTTGCTCTTTTGTACGTCTGTACACCTCGGGCGCTGACCCAAAAGTGTCTTCTTCGTTTTACTGATGGCCTCAGGGCTTCTTAATGTCCCCTTTATCTTCTCCCTTTGTCCTTGGACAAAGGTTGTCCCCCATCCATAGAAAAAGAAGAAATTAGAAAGTTCTAGAATCAGATGTTAAAGACAAAGGAATTTAGGAGAAATAAAACTTATATCTACCCTTTTTACAAAGACATGGTGTACCGCCACAAAACAAATCATTTCCCTCAATAGTACCTCAAACAAAAAATGTTGAAATGATAGAGAAATTTACAGAACAACAGGTAAACAATGGATTTTTTGCAATATAAATTGCTTATTAAAAATAATAAATTCAGAATTTAAATACAAAAATTATTTTTAATGTTTTTGAAAAGATAATTTGTATTTATATTTTTTACACTTTACTGAATTGAGTCCATACTCAAAATTGGTTGCATCGTTTCTTAAACAATATCATAGTGCATGATGTCAGAATGTGACACGATGTTCAGGACTTATAATAAGGTGACCAACTTTTTTACAATAAAAAGGAGGACACTAATAAAATGAAGGAAAAAATATCATAAATAAAAAACATTTTATTCATTGCAACAATAATACATTATAATAATCTCTACTGCATGTATAGGTACCATGTCATGTTTTGATAAGAAACAAACAAAGCCATTTGCACATGCGCTCTCTCTCTCTCTCAAGGTCTCCCATGTGAAGAGCATGCGTCTCATAATTGCATCTCGTCACACTGAACAGAGCCTTGATGAATTGTCATGTTAAATACAAACATGTCATATCACATCACATGCAACAGATCAGTTTGGCATTGATCGAATACGGAGATTTACAGATTAATCTTCAAATATCAAAAAGGAGGACATGTATGAGGACACTTTTCGAGGGAAGACAGAACTTCAAAAGGAGGACGATTGGTCACCTTATTATAAGTACCATTTTAAGCATAATATTAACATGAGTCATTAATTAGTGTAGCCTTTTCCTTTTGATTGAGGTTTTTTACAAGGCAAATTTTTAATACCATAGCTAATTTTGTGTCCTGGAAATACTTTTATGTTGGTTTCATAGTATTGTTTCAATTTGAAACAGTAAAGTACCACTTGACACAACCAAGTTTAAAGACTGATTACGCCAACTAAAAACATTTTTCTNTAAATCTGTTTGTAAATGGCTGAATTTAGTTCAGCTGGTTTTCTTTTTCTGCTTTGAATACTTTTGCCATCCTGACTACTGGAACCCTGATTGAAATGTAACTAAAAGATAAAAATAATTGTATTCCATAAAAATTTTTATTTTAAGATTTACCTACTGATTATTAATGTTTTGAAGTCCTTCAATATAAAAATAATCTGAAAAGGCTTCATTAACTTCTACAGATGTAACATTACTAATTTGTGCAGTAGATATTATCTGCAAGAAAAAAAAAAATTATGTTATTTGCTAAAGAATGAAAATAAATATATCTGAACTTGACATTTTAAAAACTATATTACTAACTACTAATATTAACATATCGTTTATAAATGGAAAAATCTAAATAACTATCAGTTACAACACTCTTAAAAGTTATTTTAAATGAAAAAATACAAAAATTATTAAGATATATATATATATATAATTTAAGTAATATATACAGTATATACTTTCATACAATTCATATATTAGATGTAATACCTTTATATTTAAATGAAATTAGTATTTTTTATGTAGTTTCTATATGTGTATGTATAATGTATGTATATCCACATTGTATCAATGTATAGCATATAGTTAAACATACCCTAAATAAACAATATTCTTAAAGGTCCTTTATTTTGAATGTAAATTAATTACAATGTGAAATATGGGACAGATATAGGTACAGTACTTCCTCAGTCTCTTTCCAACATAGGGATGAACTGCATTGATTAATTCAGCTGCACTCAGAGTGGGATCAGCCATCTGGCAATTCTGGCACATTATATAGGAAATATTTTAAAACACACACACACACACACACAATAGACATTTGCACATTTAATACTTGTCATTTAAATATACAGTAATACAATTATTACAAAGTAATTTATTGATAAGTGAATAAATATTGACTTACTTCACATCCAGCTATATCTTCAATAGCTACTATACGAGTTGTAGCTATTTCTGCTATTAAAATATACGACTAATTAATTCAAAATTCAAAAATTTTATAAATTATTAGAGTACCTTAATACTTACTTGTCTTATTTTCAGCATAATTATCACAATTATTTTCTAAAGGCTGTGTTAGGACCCCATAGAAAGTAAATTTTCACCTATTCCATTTGTTTCTATTGAAGTTGGTTTACCATCTCCTGTTTTATATAATTTGCTTTTTGCTATGCCTAGATTTGGAGAATCCGTGATTCTCACATGGACAATTCTATGTGGCTAGCTTATGCGTTGGAAAACCTTCTGATTTATTCGTGTACGCACAAGACGGAAAAACAAANTATCACAATTATTTTCTAAAGGCTGTGTTAGGACCCCATAGAAAGTAAATTTTCACCTATTCCATTTGTTTCTATTGAAGTTGGTTTACCATCTCCTGTTTTATATAATTTGCTTTTTGCTATGCCAGTTCCTTCACAGCCTTCTTCACAGTTTTATACTAATCTCGCAGTTACTTGCTTTTCCTTACTGTGACACCAGGAGTACCATTTAATTTTTTGCATATTTCCCAGGTGCCTCCCTTCTGTTCAGACAAAATTGAATTGGTTTTCTCATTTTCTATTATTGTCTTATGCTTTTCTACTAATTCTAGTAGTAATTCTTTGTAGAAATTGCTAAAATTATGACAAGTGTGAGCTGTCATAATTTTAGCAAGCTCCTTTCCGACAGTTGGTCAGTGATCTACTTCCTTGTCAAGGATGGTGTTTACGTTCTGTTATGCGTTACATGATTGGAGGAGAGTCAGAGGGGTTGACAAAGGTCAAGAGTCAAAGAAGGGAAAAATTTACAAACCTAATTACTCTAAGTTCCATTATAATAACCTATCCTGCTACTGCGCGGATGGTGGAGAGAGAGAGCTTACAAATTTGCATTCATACCTCTTTGCATATATCAGTGGGATATTCTTCCGTGATATCCAAACGGATTCGGGGTTGTGGCACAAGGTTCTACGGTGGTGTAGGTCTGCGATGGGAAAGACGATGTCCGACTTTGGCGATTGGCGATTCCCCCGAGAGGGGGAAGGAGGAGGGCTTTTATACTTTTTGTGGTGGAAAAATTAGTTAGGTGATCAATTGTTTTAGCAGGTGTGGGGTTAAACGTGGTGATAGAATGGCAACAATATGACGAATTTTGCCTGTAAGCGTAAACTATGCACGGATTCCTCGTGAGAATGTTTATATTTTGAATTTGTAGGTAGGGAATAAATAAATTTTTCCCTAAATTTATAAATTTAATAAATTTTTGTTTTAAAAAATTAACTAAATTTTGAATATCACACAAGCTACTTTCTACCATTTTCTATACATGTTTGCTTGCAACCAATCAAGACATTGCTTACAAAAGAAGACTTACTTAATCTTGAACACAGGATTGTTTTAAAACATTAATTCTAGTACTGTATAGCAATATCGTAGAGTTATATTTTTGACTGAATATGAAAGACAGGTAACTAGTAATCTGTAGCTCAGAATAATCTGACTCTAGGTTAGATTTAAACTTAAGTTTTTCAACTCTCTGTTTAACTCAGTCTACAGAATACAGACATAAAAATTAGTGTGTCAAGAGTGCAGTAGTTTGGGCATCTGGAAAGAAATCCTTTGGATTACGTTATAAAACATGTGATGACAACAGATCTTCCCAAAAGAAGGAGAAGAGGTAGACTGAGATATGGTTTGACAGTGTGTTTGAGAATATGGTTGTGCTCTTAGAGTTGGGAGAGGACAGAGTAAGGTAGAAAAAGTGATCTGCAGAAGTGATCTCAGAAGAGTGAAACTAATAAAGTGAAGAAGAAGATACAATTATAAATGCTGCATTTTTTCTTAGTTACTTGAATGTGATACTGTGTAGGAAAAACAAAAACACAAGGTTCTGTAAGGTCCTTTATTTTTAATGTAAATTAATTACAATATGAAATATGGGACAGTTATAAGTAGTTATTCAGTCTCTTTTCCACATAGAGATGAACTATATTGATTAATTCAGATGCACTCAGGGTTAAGATTGGCCATCTGGCAATTCTAGCAAATGCCAGAGAGATGGGTACCCTATGGAGCCGATTAATATGATGCTGGCCATATAATAAATGTAAACAACAAATGCATAATTTTAGACACCCACAAGAAATCTCTTATGTAAACATTTTAAGGGCGCTTATCAGTTAAAGCCCTGCACGCTGTGTCACATGCCATATTTCGATGTTATGCCACATCAAATAACATCAATTTGCATATGAATAAAAAAAACATGCTATCTGAAAGTTCAAAATTAAAATTTATTTCAAAACAACCAACATGATTTTGCTAAAATATTACAATTAATTACTGCTTGTTAGTATTGTTACATTAAAACTTTTACTTATTACTTACAAGAATTACAATTTACTCTCCTTCACCTGGTGTAATTATTCAAATTTAAATTTTACAGGCAAAACTTAGATGACAGTAATTCCTTATCCAAACACAAGTTAAACTAAAGTAAATGACAAAACCAGCCATTGAACTGTTCATCCATGTATTAGCCCTCACATCTTATAATCTCCATCTTGGATTTTTACACTCTTAACATGACTGCATTTTATTATCCTTTTTGAATAAACATTAATCATATTTGTGCAAAATTCAAATGTCATCATCTCCAGATGTAGGCAAATTGAAAAAAAATGAACAAACTGTGGTGGTGTGGAGGACAAAAAAAAGGATGACAAAGAAGTAACTATAAATTAAACAGGATTTTTATTTAACCACAGTTATGTGGTCCTTCGTACACCTGGTTCGTTTACACTAAACACACTTGATCCTAAACTATAGTACGCACACAAGTTTGAAGCCGTCCGACAAATTCTATGTGCTTTCACAGGCAGGAGACACATGCTCACGACAATGCAAAATTATGGTTTGAGATACTACAACTAACTTAAATCTACCTTAATCNGGAATAGTAATTTATAGTTTAGCCTAGTGACAAGTAGATTCGAAGACAAGTAAATTCGACTTAAGTCGTTTTCCTGGAACCAATTACCGACATAAGGCGAGGTATACCTGTATAAAGGTTTGCCACAATTAATGTTGTGCATTAATTGAATCCTATGTTAAGCAAGGGATAGCTATATAGTAGTACAATGGTTAGAAAATACTCCTGACAGCACAATTTTTAGGAATCTTTGTACAATGTTCAAAACAAGGCAAAATCTGCAGATCAGTGGTGTGCTGTCCATGGAAGCTGTGGAAGCACCGCTTTCTTTCTATTTTCTAAAATATAAATACATATTGCACGATTGTTTTTATATTTTAACGTACTTTGAATTACTTAAAATTAATATTATAACCACATTCTGTATTTTATTACAAATTTCTATACATGTGAAAAACAATGATAAGATTGCTATTGCATATTCAAATATAAATTTGTATATGCATATTCCCAATGGAAGCGCTGTACTGTCGAATACGGGACAGCTTCCATGGCAAAAACATCTGAATGATGTAAAGCAGCTAGATTACAGGCATTCACTTTACAGAGCATCAACCTCTGGTGATTTAGCTGGTGGATGCTATATACCAATATATCATATAACACTTCCAATGATTCCATCCATTAGCCACTGGTAGAGAGCTATTTGACGAAGTGCATTGTTTTAAGATTTAAAAAGTAAAGAATATTTTATGTACAGGTACATTTC